ATTGATGCACTTTTCTCAGTGATAAAATCGATTAATGTCAAGACATAATAAATATAAAAAGATCATTGCACCACAAAATATGCTGCATTTATCTTTAACAAAAATTAAAGGTTCGCTCATATTCCTGTGATTGTACACTATTCTTTGTAATTAACCTGAACTGACGACATTCAATATCGTAAAGGTCACTTATACACAATTTGCTGAGTTAGCACCGCCATATCTCCTAATAAGTTCCTTCAAAATGAATAAATGAGTGAATCATAGAGGAATTAGTCACTCGTTGCCACCTACATGGGGTCGTACATTCTCAAAAAAGCGCATGCAAATTATCAGCAAGAGTTGTTTATTTTGGAGCTCTCTTATATGAAAAGCGGATGAAACTTAAGATGTTGAATAATTTGCATTTTTACCCGACAGCAGCGATCAGTTTACTGAATTTATGAGAGATTCCAATTGGTTTTATCATTGAGCACATTATAAAGGTAAATCTATCACAAACTTCTTTGCCGATGCAGTTTATTGCACTGCATCCCCCTTTACACTCAGAAGCAGACCACTGTCTTCGGAGGAGGATTTCTTCGAAAAGTGCTAAGATTTCAAATTTTTTCTAAATACACCAACCCATTTATGCCAAAATGAACAAAGAAAGTGATTGGGCCATCTGTGCCAGAATACTTGTTTCTTTTGTCTAAATATCGCACTTCGAAAATCTAATGGCGATGTTTGACCTGGGCTCTCGAATCTTGTTTAACAGCTGCTATAATATTTCAAGATTTGTTTAAAAATAGATAGCAAAAAACGTAGTTGGTCACCTTGATTCAGTATAATGATATAACGCTAAGGAAAATTAGAAAATGATTTAGATATTATTACTATTTATATTATTATTATGCAACACTCGAAACTAATATGTGCTTGTCAAAAAGCAACCTCTTCAGCAATTGTATGTAAGTATGCTTCGAAATTATGGCTGCTCAATTATTTTAATTTTTTCCTAATCTCATATATTTTGAAGCTAATTATGGGAGGTACCTCACAACACCATCATCCATTTGTTTGAACAGGAGATCGAGGATCATGAGGTCATTGCCGTGTACAGGTGTACAGGATTACTCTGGACGATAACAACAGATTGCCTGTGCTAAGCATCGCTTTCCAACTTAAGTTCACTTCACGGTCATCAATCGCTTCAAGACTGTATCTTCTTTACAGAAATGTTGTCTTTTCACTCCTTCATTTCCGCCTTATTTTTATGCGCGCTTTCT